TATTACAGAGACAGGCACAAATGTGGGGCGAGAAAGAAGATTGGCTGGTTTGGGGTGGAGAGGTACGTTTAGAGTGCATCAGTTGGGAAAGTCTCCACAGTGTCTCCAAAAGTGGAAGTGTCTTGCATGGAAGTGACAGAAGAGAGCTGGGTGGCTGGAAGCCAAGTAGAGTGAAGGATGGAGGAGCAATGCAGAGGAGTTATGGAGCTAGAAGATTGGAGAATTGGTGGAGAAAGATTTTACTTCCTCCATTCTGAACTGATTTTGATTGACAGCTGAAAGGGCTGCACATTAACCCGCTGCCTTGCATATAAAGAAGGAGCAACTCATTCCAAGTTTGGTGTCTGGTTTACTGCAAGCTGAATTTTAATGAAAAGACAGATTTTGAGATGTAGGAATCTGTTCAATGTTTAGTGTGACAAAATCTCGTTATAAAGTTGGCTTCAAAGAAACCAAGCAGAGTGGTGTAATTAAAGGGAGGATATCTTCACTTAGAAGATATTTGCTAATTTTGCTAATTTTGAGGAAAGAGCAACGGTCAGTCTCGCATGATGCATTGGGTCCTTGTATCTATTGTATTCACTCATTACCAGCCATTTGCAAAGAGAGAGGACCAAACCCCTGTGGAATATCCCCACCATTTACGTTAATTAGAATATGTCACTGCGCAGCATTGCTCTCTATAAATTATCCTTTCATGAAACATAAATATCACTGGCAAGGCCAGTATTTGTGGCCCATCCTCATTTGCCCTCAAAGGTGGTGGTGAGCCTCCACTTGAACATCTCTGAAGCAGTTTGGTACAGCAGAATGACAAGTTGACCTTTTTCAGAGGGCAATTCACAGTCGACTGGTTCTGGAGTCCAATGTAGGCCACAGCAGTTAGAGACGGCAGATTTCCTTTCCTAAAGGGCATTTATGAACTTGAGGGGGTTTTATAACAACGTTAGATGCATGGTATATAAATTTACATTTTAATTGTAGGTGATAGCCTATCAATATCTCTTAGCATAAAATTACTAAGTGAACAGGCAAAAGTGTGGCAGATGGAGTTTACTGGAGGCAAGTGTAACATTATCCATTTTGGATTGAGAAAGGATAGATCAGGGTACTTTTCTAGATGGTATGAAGTTAAAAGCAGTGGATGTGCAAAGAGACTTGGGGGTTCAGGCGCATAGATCTTTAAAATACCACGAACACTTGCAGTAATCAAGAAAGCTAATGGAAAGCTGGTCTTTTAGAGTCATAGAGTCACACAGAATGGAAACACACCCTTCGGTCCAACCAGTCCATTCCGAATCGTAATCCCAAACTAAACTAGTCCCAACTCCTGCGCTTCGCCCACATCCCTCCAAACCTTTCCTATTCATATACTTATCCAAATGTCTTTTTAAATGTTGAAACCTGCATCCACCACTTCCACACACAAACCACTCTGCGTTTTAAAAAAGAAAAGTTGCCCCTCATGTCCTCTTTTAAATCTTGCTCCTCTCACTGTAAAAATAGGCCCTCTTGTCTTGAACTCCCCCACACTAGAGAAAAGGCATCTGCCATTCACCTTCTCCAGTCTTCTCATAATTTTATAAACCTCTAAAAGGAGAACCCTCAATCTCCTACGCTCCAGGGAAGAAAGATCCCTGCTTATCCAACCTCTCCTTACAACTCAAACCCTCCATTCCTGGCAACATCCTGGGAAATCTCTTCCGAACCTTTTCTAGCTTAATAATTTCCTTCCTATAAACAGTGTAATTAGATCTGGACCCGATACTCCAGAAGAGGCCTCACCAACATCCTGTGCAACCTCAACATGATGTCCCAACTCCTATTCTCAGCGGTCTGAGCAGTGAAAGCAAGTGTGCTAAACGCCTTCTTAACCACCCTGTCTACATGTGATGCAAATTTCAAAGAATTACATACCTGACCCCCTAAATCTCTCGGTTCTACAGCGTTTCTCATTGTATAAGTCCTGCCCTTGCTTGTTTTACTAAAATGCAATACCTCGCATTTATCCAAATTCAACTCCAATGCCACTCCTCAGCCCATTGACCCATTTGATCAAGATCTCTTTGTAATAACCTTCTTCACTGTCCACTATACCACCAGTTTTGGTGTCATCTGCAAACTTACAAAATATACCTCCTTTAATTCTTATCTGAATCATTTATATAAATGACAAACAAAAGTGGACTCCATACTGATCCTTGTGGAACATTGCTAATCATAGGCCTCCAGTCTGAAAAACAACCCTCCACCAGTCTGTCTCCTGACATTAAGCCAATTTTGTATCTAATTGGCAAGGTCACCCTGAATCTCATGATCTAAGTTTACTAATTAGTTTACTGTGCGAAACCTTGTCAAAGGCTTTACTAAATTCCAAGTAAACATCTACTACTCAGCCCTCAATCTTCTTTTTGGTTACTTCCTCAAAAAAACTCAATCAAATTTGTGAGATGATTTCCTGCACACAAAACCATGCTGACTATCCTTAATCATACCTTGCCTCTCCAATATATAAATTCTGTCTTTCAGAATCACTCCAACAGCTTATCCACCACTGAAGTCAGACTATCAGGTCGATAGTTCCCAGGCTTCTCCTTTATAGCCTTTCTTAAACAAAAGTACAACATTAACCATCTTCCAGTCATCTGGCACCTCACCCATGGTTATAGATGATACAACTATTTCGGATAGGGGTTCTGCAATTTCCTCTAACTTCCCACAATATTCTGGGTTACTCTTGATCAGGTCCCAGAGATTTATCTACCTTTTTAATTTTCTAAGACCTCCAGCATTTCCTGTGCTGTCATTTGAACTGTTTATAAAACATCAATATTTCTGAGTTCTCTAGCCTCTATCTCTTTCCCCGCAGCAAAAACTGATGCGAAATATTCATTTAATATCTCTTCCATCTCCTGAGGTTGAAAGACGACCTCAGATCTTTAAGGGGCCCCACTCTCTTTCTAGTTGCTCTCTTGTTCTTAGTGTAGAAGTTCTCTGGATTATCCTTAATCTTATCTGCCAAGGCTGTCTCATATCCCCTCCTTGTCTTCCTGATTTCCCTCTGAAGAATGCCCCTACACTCTATCTTCTTTTAAGAGATTCATTT